AGTGTGTAGGATTTAGATAAAAATGGCTCATTCTGAGGTAACAAAAACACAAAGATTCTTATTTTCAGGAAATTATACACGAATGAAAACATAGTTATGTATATTATATTACATTTCTGCCAACAGATCCTCCTAAACGTTACACCTTTAATATTTAGATTAATAGTTTTAAATGTATGGTCACTTTGGAGGATGTAGCTTTAATGCATTATACTGACAGCTGTTTCTATCATTTTTTCCTTCCATTTACATAAATGAGGGTAGGCAAAATAACAGAAATACTTTTCTGTAATAAAAACTGAACATTATAACCTTCATGAAGGTAAGATTCATTGCAGGACTGTTGTACTAGACTGCATTAGTTTTAGCAAGGTTTATCAAATAAATTGACAACCAAGTTTATATTACCCTGTAGAAAGTAATGAAAAATGGGAAAATCAGATATTTTACTTTATAATTGCACTTTGAGCTTGCTACAAATCACAGAGAAAATATTTTAAACACTTTTTTGAGATGCACTTATTTGCATTCCTGCCGAGAGTTATAAAGCTGCAGCCAGCAGCCGACTAGCGTAGCTTAACATGAAAACTGTCAAATCTGCCTCCCCTCAAAGCTCACTAATTAAAATGTAATATTTAATTTGTATAATCTATATTTCTTGGACATTGTTTCTTTACAGATCAAACAAACAAGTTATACCGTGTTAATTTGTGAGCTTTACAGGTGCTGGTAGGGGGATTCTCTTCCCTTTGACTAAAGCCAGACTAGTTGTTTCCCCCTTTTTCCAGTCTCTATGTTAAGCTATGATAACTGGCTGTTGGCTCCAGCTATATACAGTACAGATACAGTATGAGAGTGGTATCAATTGACGCATATATTAAAATATATAACTATTCCTTTAAATGTTTGGATGACTTCATTACTTAGTAATCAGGTTTTCTGCAAACATCTGGTCTAAATTTCCTCTCCTTAATGAATAGTAATGGAGAGGTTTGCTGGGAAAAAAGTTCTGGGCAGAAGGTTTATTATGAATAATTATGAAGACAGATATCCATGAAGGAGTGCTTCCGTCAGCCAGTTAGCCCCTGTGCTTTCCTTCAGTTGTGCCATAGTGCACTTTCACAACTTAAAAAAAGTTAAGTCTGCTTATGGAAGCTAAATCTTCTCAGGTGTTCGTCTGTAGAACACACTGTTCTGTTTTGTAGTTTCCACATGATAACACTTTGTTTTGGAGGGCGGATGCAGAGCCAGGTTGTGTTAAGTCAGGTGTCTGGGGAAGGTGGAGACCGGGTCAGCAGATGAACATAATGATCAGGGCAGACATCCAGCTGGGACGTGCTCACCTGCCTGCCTGAAACTAAAACTGTCCTCCATACTAGTTATGAAATATGTGCCATTTTGAGTACAGCTTTAAAGAACTTAATTGGAATTGTTGCACTGTCCAAAAAAGATGTCCAATATACCATATGTATCTGATATTGTTGAAATGTAAATGTAAGAGGGCTGCTGGATGTTGGCAGCGCTAACTCAGCATTTCCATAAGCCTTTACTCATGCTGTAACTGAGACAAACAGGGGGAGGCAGGCTGAAGAGTAGTAAGTGTGTTGATAATTGTCTCCTCGATATTGATGTCCATTAGATAGGTATACAGCACCCTCATCCTCCAGCACGCACATACACACACACACACGTTCGGGAATAACACCCGATCCTTTTCCGTTCCCACAGCGCTGAATCTAAGATTCCCAGCACTTAGCATTGATTATTAATGGCAGGTTTCAAAAGAAAAGGGGGGCAGAATCTGATCTTACTCTTTATGCACACTGGCGTTAAGAGAAACCTGTCAGAGGTTCAGGGCCAGTCTCTTCCCAGAAACCCTGCAGATGGAAAGTGCATGGCCTGTGTAATGAACTTCTGCTCAACGTTGTGTGGACTGAGGGTCATGACAGTGTTTGAGGACAGTGACTATGCTTATTTCTATCCATAAAATATGAGTAATGACATTGATGATTTCTAGCAGTTGCTCACTTTGTAAAGAAGCTTAAACAAGAGTTTTTCATGTTCTCTATCTTAGTTTATCATGTTAGCATGCTAAAAATAGCTAATTCAATCTAAACAAAAAGTACAGCTGATGCTTAGTGGAATGGTTTTCGTTTTCAGGTATTTAGTAATAAAACAAAATATTGTGACAAATTAAAGTTTGACCTGATAATGGCGCTTGAGGAAGTCAGAGGATTACCAACGTTATTACAATTCATTCTGACAGTTAAATGAATTTCTGAACCAAATGTCAGGCCAATTAACGCAACAGTTGTTGAGATGTTTCACTCAAAAATCTAAATCAACCTCACACTGGTGCTGGAGGGGATCACCAAAGTCATCATGATCATCTGTCCAATCATCAAATATATGTCAAGATATTTCAGCCGGGGACAAAGTGGTGCACAGAAGACCAACAACTGACATTGCCATCCTCAAAGCTCTGGTGCCAATGTGGCTAAAAATCTAATAACAGTCAGTTAGTCAATCAGTATGGAAATCTCCCATGATCCTATCTGCTTTTCAAGTGATCCCATGTGGACTCCCCATCTTCAACATTCAGCAGTATACTGACACAGGTCTAATTGCTAACAGTTTTTCATGCTTAGAGGGTTTAGCATGACAAAATGTTTAATTATAAAGTAAAGGTAAATGCCAGCTCACATTATGTGGGCCAAGGAACACATCCCAACCAAAGTGGATTACAAGAGACAGAACTAGTCCTAATGTCAACATTATTTTCTGTCATAACCTACTTTACTGGCTTTTTGTTGGCAGATGTGAACAACTAAATCTTAAGTGCTTCCATTGTGGTTTCAAGCAGTGAAAACAGGTGAGATCTCACCATTAATGGAGAAGCTTAAACTGCTAAACGTGTTAAACAATTTTATGACGACTCATTCGGACCAGTTGGAGTCGGCCCAGGAGGGAGCAGCTGATAACACCTCCCCGTCTCAATCTCATCACAAACAACATCAGCCTTAAACTGGCAAGTGATAGATATCTAGCTGCTATTTTGTAGTTTATCTGAAAAGGAGTCATGAGCTGTGTTTTCCCCTGGTGCATTTTTACTCATCTTGCTGTGCCCTCTTCCGTCCCTGTGGACCTAAATGTGCGTCAGCGAGTTGCTCAGTGCCTGCCCAGCACAGGATAAAGAGATATCCTCTCCTCTCTATTAAAAAAAAGAAAAGATTACACCAAGGAGCAGTCATGCATTGTTATTTAGATATCTTCTGTAACCTCACTGATGAGTTTTGGTATCCATGGATGGTTTGAAATATAGTTTTAGAGGCTTTTCCATTCCCCATAGAGTAAAATTCTGCATGAAACACCATGTATGCATTTGAGATTAACAACTAAGCACTCATCTATTCATTATTTGCTCTGTGCCACATTCCCTTTGCAAAGCTGAGTCAACTAGAGCAAGCTTTGTTTGAGTCAGAAGTTTCTGTGTTTGGTCGGCCAGCGTCTGTGAGCAGATGAGGATGTGGGCCACCCTTTTTCCCATGAGGCCCACCGTGTCCCTAGACTGACTCAAACCTAGTGAGCAAAAATATCCACATGCCTGCGTCTTCTCCGCAGCCTGAGGGAACGTAATAATGCCTCGGCTAATCCGATTAACATTAACAATCCCACAGGGGAAATCGCTGCACATCTGCAACGGACAGATAATTATGTTGCCTCAGATGTTTGTTTCTTCCCTTTTTGTGTGTTTGTTTTGCCGCTTGTTATGTCTTTGGAAGACCATCAGTATTTTATTTTTTTGTCGGCTTGGATGGGCACCATTTCAGTGTGTTTCTAGGTCTTTGTAGCGAACACGGGTGGATGCCCTCCTCCTTGTCTCAAGGGCAAGCTTTGCATTATGTTAGCAGGCTTAGATGGATTTTTTTTGAGTAATGCCAAGGATGGTTATAAAATGACTCTGCACTTCACTGTTGTGTTGTTGTGTTCTATCTTGTTTTAACTATTATGGCCAAAGCAGTTCATGAATTTTCTTTTTGATGTATGATAGGATTTTCTTGAGAAATAAAGTTTTACCTCCATCAATATTAGTCTTAATTGCAGTTATGGTAGTACCAGTAGTAGTCGCAGTAGTACAACACATAATTACAGTGAATCAGTTAAAAGTCCTGAATCTATAACTGGTACAACTGTGATTAAATGAATGAATTAAGAAAAATAAATGTTAACGTTTAAAAAAATATGAATCATTACATTTGACATTTGAAAAATCTGTCCGTATATTGTGATAAATATATTGTGTGTGAAATTGCATTTGATAGTTGATAGTTTTCTGTGGCAGAGAAGAGTTGGATCTCGGTCCTGCTTGACCCCCACTGCTAATATTTATGTTATTATTATTATTAATCATTACTCATCATTCATCATCATCATCATCATTATTAGTCATTTCTACTAGTATAGTTGTTACGGGTGCTATTGTTATTGGCCCTCCCTCTCACCCCTCTACCCCCCTCTTCATGTCTAAACCCTACTGGTAGAGACGGCTGCCCACCTAGAGCTCTCAAAAGGACATTTTTCCTTAGCACTGTCGACAAGTGCTTGCTCATGGTGGGAACTGCCGGGTCTCTGTAAATAATTTCATAAGGAGTACGGTCTAGAGCTGCTCTATTTGAAAAGTGTCCTGAGATAACTTGTTATTGATTTGGCACTACACAAATAAAATGTAATTGAATTCAAATAATTTAACAAGGTTTTGAAGATGGGAGCGCCTTGCCAAATTCTAAAACAGGACAGCCGGAACAAACCAGCATTTAAACAAGATTACTCCACCGAGAGTCGTCCACTGAGAGGACAATCAGGGAGCAACTTCCCACAACTTTTCTCAGGAATAGAGGGCCTATTATTATCGAGATTGAAAAGACTCACAGTTAACTTACTTGTTTCTTACTTTGTTTGTTCACACAACCTTATTGTTATTTACATCTGTCCTGTTGCAGGTTGGAATTCTCTATTTCCAGCCGAGTGTTTTCCGCTGCATCCTGCTGCGATGGGTTCGACTGCTCGGTTTCGCTACCGTCTATGGGACACTGACTCTTAAATTGTACAGGTAATACACATGCATTACACACACAACGTCGTTATCCTTCCCAGGCAATGCCTATTGGATTACACTGACCTCTTTAAGTGCAATTACACTGTATTACATCTAAATTCCTTGAGCCTTATGAAGTGTTGAGGCAGCGTGTTTCTCGGCAAATTCATCACCAGACTACACTGCTGTATGTGTTTAGAGGTGGATTCACTGCCTCATTAAGTGGAAGAGGGAAATGCCAAGTAAAAGTAATTAAGAAAACACAGGGTGCTTTGGCCCCAAATTATCTCCATATATAATGTAGTATTGAATGATGGTTGGCAAGAGACAAGCCGAGAGACGAATGTGTGTGAGATCAGAGGACGGAAAAGGACTGCTGGAGGATGCAGCGAGGGAGAAACAAGAGGGGGTTATCTAGCACTGAATAGCCAATAATGAGCCAGGGGGTCTGCTGTATTTAAAGTAATACACTTGAAATTGTTCATCTGTGGGGCTTTTTGTCAGGCGAATCTGTCAAAAAGGCCTAATGAAGATGCTGATTAAGAGGATGCGGCTAATGCGAGCGATAGCCGAGTAAACCCTTAGAGGTGTAAGTTAACATATTGCACAGATCAATTTTTGATGGGGGGCTCATTAGTGGGGAGCGCAGTGGACACTTCATCAATGTGCGTGAAGGGCAGAGCCTAAGAATAGCGATGGCTGGTCGTGTTTGAGCAGAGTTTCATTCCTATTAACAGTCTTTGTGTTTGCAAATTTAATGCCACATGATGTCATGTAGTAATAATGATGCATTTCAGAGCTGGAAAAATAATTCCTCCTAATATATGCTATACTTCAGCTCTTTAAAAAAAACAGCTATAGGGCATGTATCATGTACTGGATCTAACATCATGTAAGATATCTGCATTTTTAACTTTTTAAAGGCCCAATGTGTAACATTTAGGAGCATCTATTGGCAGAAATGGAATATAATATTCATACGTATGTTTTCATTAGTGTATAATCACCTGAAAATAAGATGTTTTTGTAACCTCGTTAAAATTTTGGGGAATGCACTGGTATGGGATTGTTACTCGGTATCATCAGATATCCTGAATTTAGGTACTCGAATCAGATTGTGGTCATGGTTAAAAGAAACCAATATAGACTTTCAGTAGGAAATGGGATGCAAACGGTAGTTTCTGGTGTTAACGCCTCCTTGTGATGGTTTGCAGCCCTAATAACGATGTCACACTACATCCTCCTTTGCATCTGAGATACGAGTCATTAGGTGAGGTCCTATTCAGACAAACTTAAACATTTTGGACAAATGACCAATTGTTCTCCTCAAACAGTCTCAAAGTTTTGGTGTGAAACTCTCACAATAGTTACTGACTGCTGTAGTGTTTTACATTACATGTTCAGTGTGTCATAAACAAAGCCAGAGGTACAGTAACATCAATATACCAGAATGCATTGCAACCGCAAAAAAAGTTGTGTTTTAAGTAAGAGTGCTTTTATTGATTCAGAAACTTTCCCTTTCCCTCTAGCACTTGTTTGTCGTTGTCATCTCGTATACCTACATATAGTGAAGGCAGGTTAAGGTACAGGCTATAAGGGTTGCTTATTCTGGGAAATGGCCTCAGGCAGGTTTGGGGTAAGAGGATAGAGAAGCAGAGAGGGTGAAAATTCTCCCTAATTGATGCTGTCTTTACTGCTTGAAATGATTCTGCCATAATCTACAATGATTTATTTTTGTAACGTTCTCCCTTTCACAGGGTGCTGAAGGTGTTCCTGTCCCGTACAGCCCAGAGAATCCCCTATATGACCAGTTGGCGAGTGTTGCGTCTGCTGGGAATCATCCTGCTCATCGTCTGCTGGTTCCTTGTGGCTTGGACATCTGCCGTCTGTCAGAACCCGGACAGGAAGTTGGCTCTCATCGATGTGGGCTACACGCCCAACGGACTGCAGTTCAGCATGTGCCTGCTGGATCGCTGGGACTACATGATGGCTGTCGGTAAGCCCAGCTACTGCCCTATGCCTCCATAGGGTGTTGTGAATAGATTTAGATACACAGAACGCTGTGTGTGCCTACCAGAGTGAGAAAACTCTGGTTATCTGAGGTGTTCATGGCATAAAATCAAGCTGTAATTTGTTAGGCGTGATAGCGTTTGGAGTTCAAAGAGAGTGAGAGAGACAAGAGTGAGTGATGAGATGAAGGTGAAGTTGGATGACAACTAAGAAGGTTTGCCTCCATCTACATTTGGCAATGCTCTTATGTTTCCCAAAAGTAGACATTAATCCTCTCCACCAGTGCTACACTCTTGGATGCTTGCTTGTGTTGTGTATTGAGAAGAGGGCCACCAGCAGCAGATAAAAAACAGATGAGAAATCAAAGAAGCTCGGAGGGAAGCAGCGTCTCGCGTTGAGGAACTCTGCATGCTGTTTTACATCTGCTGACTCAGGCTTCATGAGGAAAGAACCATGGTCTTTTTTTGACTGGGGAAACAGATGGACCCCCAGCAGAGGCTACATGCTGTGATACTGTATACTGAAGGCAGATTTTCATCCAGTTTATTAGGAGGTAAAAATAGGCTGGTAATAGCAAGGTACAGCTCTGACTACACCTACATACTGGTCATAAATTACACACAAAACCAGACGCAATAACTCTTCCTGATTTAGAAATCTGCACCTGCAAACACTCACAGTCTGTGGTCTAATTGTAGATACATTTTACATGCAAAGGCTAAACAAACCAGCAAAGATTTATTGTGGTTCACAACAAAACTGCAGTTTCAGCATTGCAATGATGTGTTAATTTAATCTAAAATATTATATTTGATTTAATTACATTTCTCTCATATTCTTTCTGACCCACCAGCATTTCTTATGTCACAGACCATTGGTTCGTGTGCTGTAAAAACTTAACTCAGGTCAATACATTTTAGTCTGTAATTAAGTTCTTTATGTATTATTTTGTAAAATATTTGTAGTAGTATCTAAAAAGTTTTTTGAATTGTTACTTATGACTATTAATGGTTAATACATTGTCTAGGGATGCTTTATATATTTATAACAGGAAAATTAAAGATTGCTTTGGCTTGTGGCCATTGTTCTCAAGTGTCTTACCTTATAATTACGTTAATAAAGGTTCAAAGGTTTCACACTTTCTAATAAGTTATCAGCAAGAGTTAACTAGTCATCTGCAATAATAAATGTTATAATGTTGTTGATAAAAAGCTCAGAATGCTCTGAATAAGCTAAAAGAATCAAAGCCTCATGCTGGTTGAGGACAAGTTTTTGACAACCTGGCAAAACCAAGTTTTATTTCTCTAAAAAACCATCTTATTTGTTCTTGTTTTAAAATGTATTATTATCATTGGACAGATGATTGTATAGCGGCAGACAAGAAACAAAAGTACTATTCTTAGAATTGGTTTAAATGTTCAGTCAGATTGTTTTATTTAAGGTTTTTTGGCTCAAATATAACCAAAAATGGTTGACAAGATGAAGATTTTGCCATCAATAGCTGGAAGCTTCTTCCATTGATTGGGGACTTCCTGGATGCATTTAGATGAAATCCGTCTAAAAAGTCTGAATCTTCTGAATATCCTGATGCACTGTAGATCTCCTTTCTTTAATTTTAGATATTTTGACCTTCACATGCCCTCACACAACCCTAACAAAATAACACTTACTATAACTGGACAATTACATCTAATGCTTATTGTTGTAAGAAAGATGTGATTAACCTGACAGCTCCACAGTTCAAGCAGACGACACTATAAATGTCAAAAAAATAATGGCAACAGGTTTTCATGGAAAAAGCAGTGTGTTTATTGCCTTGGAGTTGGCTACCTAGGAGACATTGCATGTGGTTGCCATGGAGGTGCTCTGGGATTCATTTATTGTCCAGAGAATACAACCACAGCTGTTTCAAATGGGTTTGATAGCTTCTGTTGAACAGGGCATTTTCCTGTGTATATATGCTGTACAACAGTTTGCACCAGCTCCATGAGAGCTTTGAACTGTGAAGTGGCTCGCTGGTGGGTTCCCTTTTTTGGTCTGTATAGCCATTGCACTGCTTAGACATTATTTTCTGGCCTGTTCATTGTGTTCACCACCTCTTTCTCATTCCTGCTTCACAGCTGAGTTCCTCTTCCTGCTGTGGGCGGTCTACCTATGTTACGCTGTGAGGACGGTGCCATCTGCGTTTCACGAGCCTCGCTACATGGCCATCGCCGTTCACAACGAACTTGTCCTGTCAGCGATATTCTATGTCATCAGGTAACATCTCCTCCCTCTAGTCATCCTCAGAGGCTTTACAGTATATGTAAATTAAAATGAATCCCAAGTCTACTCTCTCACCTTTAGTGGCGTCTATCCATGCAGATAGTTTGGTTTTATTTGTGCGTGTTTGGATATGTTGTCCCTGCTTTCCAAATAAAATAGAGGTGAATGGAATTTAATTTATTGCAAAATGTTCAATGTGAACATTGAAAAATTATATTTTAAAATAACACGAAATTTAAAGTTTATCTCAATACAGCTGCAGGGCTGCACTAGACGTGTTGGTGTACCTTCCAAAGAACATGTTTCACATTATATCGTAACATAATAACAGTCACATCATTACATTTGCTTCACTGGTACAGTAGCTTGCCAATGCAAAGCTTCTTACTCTTTTATAAAACTCACACTAAAATTCACTTTTAATTGATTACATAAAATATATTATAATGTATTGCAACATTGTAACATTAACATTTTTGTATCATTTGCATGAAAATACCCTTCAAATTAAGACAATCACGGCATTAATAGATATCAATTCTTGTGCAGTAACCCCCACTCATCTATAGCTCTAAAGAGGATAAAACAAAAATAATTACTAACAAAAATTACTTACTTACTTACTTACTTACTTACCATACAGATGCTGTCACTTGCATTCACAACATGTTCCACATTTACTAGCTCCATACGTAATAACATAGTCATTGATTTGATCTCTGCTGTTGTCATTTTGACGTGTATGCCCTCCAGTAGATTGTCTCATTTCCATCACATATAGGAATGAGGCTCCGTTCATCTGGGAGTTGTTTTTTATTGTAGTGAAATCATCCCTCTCCCTCCAGTATACATGTCAAATAGCTGCACCATGCAGTTTATAAATGAGACATTTCAGCTGACACCGCCACAGACATTCCTAGCTGGAGTCCCCGTAATTGAGAGCTCAGCTCCATCACATTATTTACTAATGAACCATGTCAGAATGATTTATGCTTTTTTAGGACAGCATAAATAGCTTGAATTATTGGCAGCCATATTCCAGTTACAAATTAACATCCATTACCAATAAATTGTGTATCATCGACGTATAGCCCGATAGTTTCTCAGAAGAAAGAGTTTTTAACAGTTTTGAAAGCATTTGAACATCTGGCTCTTTGTAATTTCTTTGCCAGCTCCTTTTATCTGCCTCTTTAGCCTTGTTGTGAGGCTTTTGTCTGCAGAACATGGCCAGATGAGACCCCTAATAAATTGGAAAGTTGCCTGGTGTGGCTAGTTATTCTGACTGGCGGCCATCAGAGACCACCGTGTACACTGGGGCTTGTTAGAGGCATTTGTGTTACTTGCAGAACCAGCTATTTGATCCCACAGTGACCAGTTAAAACTCAGACTTCCTTCTTCGCTGTGATAGTCATCAGATTTTATCCAGGTCCAGGTGTGAATTTGAAGCTGAGAGAAAATGAAAGAAATGTAATAGCTGGAGGTCGAGGCCTGAGTGATGGGGAGTTTCAGTGAGACGCTGCAGGCTGAAGGGAGACAGCATGCCAAGGTTATTAAATCCTCATCTGCACAGAAACTGCTCACAAAACATGAATGAGGGAAGACTTCAAAGCTTTGGGACATTTCATATGCTGGACCTTTGCCTTCATTTATGCCTCCAAGCTATTACCACAGTAACTGTTCATTAATTAGCCATTTGCCAACTTCAACAGCGTAATGAGCCTGCTAGATGACATTTGCTTGGATAGAGGCTCTCTAGTGGTTAAATTAGCATCTGACAGGACATACCTTCATACCCTTAGTGCACATGGGGTCTCACTATGCTGAAAGCCTGTTAGTTCTTTTTAAATAAAAGGCTACAACTACTCCTCACATTGCTATTGTTTCTGCCAGTAATTATCTCATTTTCCACCAACTACTGCGCCACAGTCAGCCCAGTGTGTTACTGTCTGATGTATAAATAGGCCGAATCTTGTGACCAGATCAAGGTCACTCCCCTTTATTGTGAAAGAATGAGGAAAATATCGTGTCCTTGCTGGCAAAGGGATCACCCGAGTGGAACATTATATGAGGCAGTGGAATTGACGCCTAGACCGACTGTGTATAAATCTACTTTGGCTGAAAACACATTAAGTCTGCTAGTGTCTGTCTCTCCAGGCTCCATCTGTATCTAAGAGGTTTACTGCAGACAGAGCAACGTGTTTGAATATCACAGCATAATTTAGTCATACTTCACTGCATTTACTGTATGTACATTTGGATTTGACTACAGCTATTTTAAAAATGTAAGGATGTGTGTATTTACAAAACTCTTGTACTGGAGAAAATGTGGGCATAGATACTAAAATACACTGTCAGTGAACGTGGTGAGGTTGAGCAGCTTGATGAGTGACACATAGCCTACTGTAGTGTAACCAATAGTAATGCATTCTGCAGCCAGTCAAATATTTAACACTAGCTAAACATCTGGATATCCCTCCTCTTGTATTAATTCAATTATTTGATTTGAATTGTTTCTCATGTCCTATATATCTTTCCTCTCTGTTTTCTTTTCACATCCTGACAGGTTCACTCTTGCTCCGGAGCTCCATCCAGACTGGATGTTGCTACTGTTCTTCACCCACACGCACTTAACTGTAACAGTAACGCTGGGTCTACTACTCATCCCTAAGGTAAACTTCACAAGTCATTTTTCACATTTTACTCACATTTTGCTTTTGTTTTTTTGCCAAAATTACAGAACAGCCCAACAATTTAACAAATGCAAAATTAAATTGTTGTATTTGTAATTTTAATTGAATTTGTTAATATTTAATTTTGTTTTATTTTACTCTCAACATTTTCCTGCCTTTGTCTTCTTGTTCAAGCACTATGTAACTTGATTTTGGGATTGTATAATTAAGTTGCTTATTGTCAAAAATATACATTAAAAGACCAAAACCAACAAGGAATTAATCCAAGTAACAAGGTTGTCTGTGTATCCAGAGCATTATATATATATATATATTTTGTCCAAAAACTAAAGTTAAAAACAGTGAGCAATCTTGCATCCTGCTGCTGTAAATACTCACTAGTGCACCAAAGGTTTGCGCAGATGAAAATAGTACCAAACAAATGCACTTTCTACTCCTGTTTGAGTAACATTAAGAACCACAGTAGTCAGATTTCAATAGCTTCCCCACTGTCAAGAAACTAGATTTTTCAAAACAACCAATTGTTCTTCTTTATGCCACTCCACCAGTTCCTGTTTGCTGGCACGCACATGAGAGATGATATAGCCTCTGAGGCCTATGAGGACGAGCTGGACATGGGTCGTTCTGGGTCGTATCTCAATAGCAGCATCACATCAGCATGGAGCGAGCACAGTCTGGATCCTGAGGACATTCGGGTAAGCGATGTTTCCTTTAACCTTTCATTTTCTATTTTATAACCTGGTGAAATCTGTTGAATCCTCCAAAAATACTGAGCAATGGCAGTTTTTTATTGCAGACACCTGACGAAATGGGCCATCTCAGTTCTATTAATGGCTGTGGCGTAAGGTCTTGCGACAGTCTTTGGGAAAAACGTACCAACGTGAGCAGAGATTTCTGTTTGTCTGTTAGAGCTGAAGAAGTCTCTCTATCAAAAGATTTTTTACAAGCCTATTTACCAGAGGGAATGATCTTATGATGACATCCTGCTACTTGAGAGCATTCATTGTATCGGTTGGGCATAGAGACCTGAGCTTTGAGGCTGTTTCAGACCTAACATTAAAACATACACCGTTTCCTTATTTGATGCTGTCCAAGACTGTCCTGTCTTTGCTTTTTTCAGCACGCATGTGATATTCCGTAGTGCATCATTTAACAATGTTAACATTTGTAGTCACGTGTCATGAATTTGTACTGCATGTTCTCTGTGCAGTAGAATGTCTGCTTTTTCGTAACAGTGTTTTGATTAGAAATCCCTTTTTTGAGTTATTTGTTCTAAACAGGCAACTGATCACTTTGCGTCTGTCCTGTATGTAGGAGGAGCTGAAGAAACTGTACTCCCAGCTGGAGATTTACAAGAGGAAGAAGATGCTGGCAAACAACCCTCATCTCCAGAAGAAGCGGAGCTCCAAGAAAGGTTTGGGTCGTTCACTGATGAGGCGCATCACTGAGATTCCAGAATCGGTGCACAGGCAATGCAGCCGTGAAGACAAGGAGGCTGGGGAACATGGGAGCAATCGTAACAGCATCTGCATGTTGAAGAAAAACCCCTTCGATCCGACTCACCCAGGAAAGCCAGTGAAGGAGGAGACGCTAAAGAACAAGGTTTTTTCTCTCAAGAAGTCCCACAGCAGCTATGACCACGTCCGTGACCAGAGTGAAGACTCCAACAGCTCAGCAACAGACAAGATGGAGGTGACCACAGCTGAAGGCTCCCTCCTGGATACACTTATGGGCAAAAAGTTGGTAAAGAAGAAGTCCAGTGAGAATTTAAATGCCCCCAGTGAATCTACAGAATCAGTTCCTTTGGTCTGCAAGTCAGCCAGTGCCCATAACCTCACTGCAGACAAGAAACCACTTCATCCTAGAGCCTCCATGCTGCAGAAGTCCCTCAGTGTCATCGCCAGTGCCAAAGAGAAGACTTTAGGCTTTACGGGAAAGACTCAGAGCGCAGAGGACAGCAATAAGAAGAGTCAGCCAAAGAGCAAAGACACGAGAGCCAATACAGAGCCAGAAAATGAATGCCAGCCCAAGATGATTATTAGCCAGTCGGTTGACTACAAACAGAGTGCAGCAAAAGGCAGAATCATAAAACAGCAAGTCGGTGGCAGCCAGCCTACAATCTGTTCTGATCCAGTCAAGGGAAAGGATCTCTACGACCTCTCAGAAGTGTGTCCCTGGGAAGTGGAGGATCTCCCAACTCCATCTGAAAACAAAGTCCAAAAGCATGTATCCATAGCACCAAAGGAAACCACAACGGTTCATGGAGGTAGCACCAAGGGAAGCAAATCTCAGCAGCAGAAACAGAAAGCTTCTGATCAGTCTCCATCGAGTGCCAGGCATTCAAAGGAGATTCAGAGGACAACTGCTGTACGAGCAGACGTATGTCCATGGGAAGATGGAAGTGAAACTCAAAGCAGTCAAGTGGAAGGCTCGAAGCAACAAATATATAGTCAGGCAAGCAAACCTACTAAAACCCAGCAGCCTCATTCTACAACAGAGAGCTCCAAAACACACCAGGCAGATGTCTGTCCATGGGACTTCGAAGAGGCCCAAAAGACAACGGAGTTATCTTGTTCACCAGATATGACAAAACAAAGAAAAGGCACCTCTCCTGTGGATGGGAAAGGGAAAAGTACCCTTTCAGATCCATCCAAAATAGGAGGCTCGCTCCAGCCACCATCTACAAAAGCTGATGTATGTCCTTGGGACTACGACAACACTGCTGTATCTCCAGATTCTGGACAGAGGACACCTAGTCCCTCTCGAGCATCCAAAACCAAGGAATCCCCTTCAAAAAAGAAGGGTACCCCTTCCACAAGAACAGTTGAGAAAGAGAAATCAAAAGACGCTGATGATGAGAAAAGTAAAACAAAAGCTAAGGACAAGAGTAAATCTTCAGAGAAACAAATGAGCCAACAAAAAATGGCTGAGGTATGCCCGTGGGACGCTGAGAGTCATCAGGAAGTGCTGGTGATTGAAAAAAGGAAAAGTGCGAATGTTGGAGCAGCCAAAGCAAAGCCAGCCGAAGTCTGTCCGTGGGATTTTGAGGATACTTCAGATAAAAAAGATACAGACAACAGTGCTTCTGTAGTGAAACAGAGCAATCCAAATCCTAAAGGCGGGGTTGGAAGTGCTGCCAAGAAGGCAGATGTTTGTCCCTGGGACTTTGAAGATAGCACATCGAGCAAGAAGGCATGACACTCAACCTCAATGGACAACTGAAATTATAGTTATTGATGTATACTTTTTTTCACTTTGAAATCGTTAAATATTACCTTTTACTATTAGTACGGTGACTTGGAAGAAAAGTTGATCGAGTTCCACAAGTTGCCTTCCTTTCCAAGGTTTTGTTCCTGTTTTACCTATTTTGAAAATAAGTAAAATGTACAAAAAACTAAACAAAGTCATGATGAGCATTCCAGATTATTCCAGAAGATAAATCTTAGACTAATTATGCAACTTTTGATTCAGCCTTGTCACGTCATGAGCGATGTTGAAAATCTGCATTTATGTTCTGTATTCAGTCAACAATTCTTACATGGTTCTTTTTGTGCATTAACATCATCCCTTGATGGACTAGGATATGATATGAAAGAACAGAAGGTGTAGAAAACTAAAGGTACAAAAACAGCAAAAGTGAAAGCCAAAGAATAAAGAAACATTTGCAAAGAGGGACGTTGATCTTCAGGCGGTGAAGTTAATTTATTTGTGTGTCCAACTCTTGGCACAGAGGGAAGGACTCAGTGAGGAAATCAGTCTATAGCACTTTAGCCAAATCCATAAATTAAGAGCTGAGGACAGACTCTGTTCTTGTTGTACATTTTGTCTTCTTATTTTCAACCTTACGGCAGGATGTCGCACAGGACATTACACACCGACCAAACTTAGACAGGTCTTTCTGTTCGTTTTTTGTTTTTGTTTAGAACTATTTAATTGTAGTTCTCGGCAGATTAAAATGCTTCCAAGTCTGCAGAGATGTACTGTATGTGCCTAACTAACTAGCATTGTCTTGTATCAGTCTGAAGTGAAGCAAGTGGCTTTTTCTTCAGCATTTTGTGATGGTGAATTATATAAACAGCATGCACAGCCAGGTATTGAGAGTAGTTGGACCCTACCAGTTTGTCAACTAAAGCAGTTAATGTGTTGACAAATATATAGTGTTTTTTTTAAATACCAGAGGCACTCATTTTCCTGCTCTCATATTTCCAAAAGCTCATTCAGGGTGGTGAAGTTTATATGAGAGCAGTATTAACATGAAAATGGCTCATATTTACACTGTAAAAAGTAGGGATAGAAAAATACTGGAGGGATACTAAGGAAATAATTTGCACCAGTTTTGTTTATGAATCCAGCATGGGTCTTTGTGTTGGCTTGCACCAAGTGTGTGTGTACATGTGTCTTTTGACACAATATCATGAATTTAAAGTAAAAATATAATGCCAAACCCCAAGAGTTGAACCTCTGGAGTCTCATAAGTGATCAAGTCCTGGCAGCGCTTTCTGTCCTTACATTCGCTCCATCGCAAACACCAAAACTAAAAGGTGAGTAGGTCAACAAATCAATTTTACGAACAGCAAAACTTTTGCTTAATGGATATATTGGTTTATTATGACTTGGGTCTTATTTTCTCAGTTTTGGCCATCACTTGCTGATACCTGGTAACCGAGGCAACATCACTGCAGCAAATTGGTCATTTTCAGTATGGTTGACAGGAAAGCTGTGTAAAGTTGATAGGAGAACATTTCTCTTCACAATCAAAGACATGTGCTAATGCTGTATAATAGTTGTTGTTTGTTTATGTGACTGTTAAGCTGCCTTGACCTCATCAACTGTTTATTTATTCCTTTGCCATTTTAAATGGATTTAGCTATTTTTCTCGCTTTTGCACAGAAAGATGACACTATTATTAATCACACCTAATAAGCTCCTATTTCTTCAACCAAGGAAAACAGTTGTCAGTGACCACAAGGCCAGACGCAATTAACTCCTTAATAAATGATGTAGGTGGTGATTCAGTAGCATGGAACATGTAGGATTATTAGAAATAAAGTGTTATGTGTCATGTTTATTGTCAGGTCAGACTTTGATGTTGCAATGTCGCCTTGTTTCCATCATAACTGATACAGACAATGGTCTTAACTACAACAATAAAACCCAAGTTTTTATAAGCCATCCATTTTGACATAATGTTACTACTGTAAGTCCATAGTATATAGTGCTTATCTTTTAATATTTTTAAATATTAAAGGATAGCATTGCCATCATTTTTTTCTTTGCGTTTTTATATTGAAAGTTCACAAGTAGCATAGTGCATGTTTTTCCCAGTTTAATGCAAGTAGGCTAAAGCTCAATATCTTAATTAAGATGATCATTTTAGAATTAGGCTTATCAATTAATCTGACTAAACCTTTTGAAGGTTTTGATTTGTTCAGTGTTTTGTATCAAAATGTCTAAATATTCATCCTGCACTATTCATCCTGGGATTACAGTGGGAAAAAAAAGAAATCTCCCACTTATAGTCAACTGTTGAACACCTGACAATAATTGCAGCCGTGAGGAAAACTATGTATCAATATAGCATCTACAGTACTTTATGGTATCTTGTGAGAATTACATGGTATCACTGAATGTTGTCACTGATTGTAATTATCTATAATTGCTGTCAAATTCCTCAATATCCGAGCTCTGTAGGAGTCCTTACTAATCGTGGTAAAATAAATCAGTGCTTGTCAGTGAGAATTTTACAAAGTCAAAACACAGTTCGTCAATTGCTAAATTTCTTTGGCACAGCTCAACTGAAAATAATCCAGTGACAAATATTTGTAGCCTTTCTTATCCGATTTTCTTTAACATGCTGACACGATTCCACAGCTAGGCTCCATAAACATGATTTAGATGCGACGTATTCTATCTGCCTCCACCTACTGAGAAATTACCTCTGCCACTGACCTGTGGGGGGCTCGCCTGAAATATTTCAAATGTGGAGTGTTTGCCTTACAGCGCGAGATTTGTCATCACCTCTACTTTATGAGCTCCTTTAGTAACCGTATCTGAGAAGAACTGCCAACGTGCATGGATTGATTGTAATGCTTTGATGGATCTACATGATATTTATGAACCAGATGTTAGGCGTCATCCATCATATGCATTGTGGATGCAGGATCGTACCAGGAGACCCTTGGTATGACAACAACGACATTTAAAAAGCCTTTTCTTTTTTTTAAAGTGACTTTAGTCTTTGGAATCACTGCCGCATTGGATCTTACTGCCCTGGGTGATGAATTTTATGCTGTATATTTTTAAAACAAGTGTCTTTTTGTCCTTGTAGGAAAGCTATTTTAAATGAGGAGATGTGTTTGTTTCAGGATAATTATTTTTAAAATCTACATGATGTTAGATTGAGCTCATACAGGCTCTAAAACCATTATGATTTTCAAATTCAATCCACTTGTTAAAGAAAACAAAAACATAACAAGCAATATATTATAACATTCTCAAGCAAGATTCTCAAAGAATGTATTTTATTTGGAAACAAAACATTTTTTTAAATTTATGTTGTTTAATCTTCACACACATGATATTTCCAGATCAGGCATAGTTGGATCACAAAGGAAACACAATTATATTGTCTTAGAGCAGAAAATAATAATGCAATATCCCACCAATATACTATGAAATACGTCACATTTTCAGTCAATCTACTCTGTTGTTTAATTTACATAATTTCAGATAGTATGCTTGCTGTGGCATTCCTCAGTTCAGTCAGTCCATAGCTGTCTGTGTATTAAATTGTGTATACATAACCAGTGTGTTACTGTCTGTTTCTCTGGAGATTATCATTGTATTTTAGCCGTATCATCGATGAATCAGTGAAAGTTTGAAACTCAACCATTTACTTGGATGTGCAAATCGAGACCATTGTTCTTGTACCATCTTGACATAGACGATACTGTGTCCTGTAGCTCTTTGTCCACCAACCGGATCTTTACCATGGTGCGTTCTGTTGGTTAGCTTTCATTTCAACCTGACTCCTCTTCTCTTGTGACCAAACCAAGTCACCTGATGGCAAATACAACTACTACTATTGCTACTACTACTATTCAATGCTGTAACGTCGTAAATCTTGTGGCTTCTGCATGAATTCAAGAAAAAAAAAATAGGACCGATGTTTCACTGCCCTTGATAGAACAAAAAAAAATTGATCTTTTATGGACTGTTACAAGTTGTATAGTGAGTGATACTGTCCCTAACCCACTGTATTATGTGCTTGTTATAACTATTGCTCTATGACAAGCTTATAGCATCAATATATGGGAATATTTGGTAGATTTATATTGTGTTATATTGTGATAGCATGTACATAAAAGATACCTCCTCTGCAATAAATATTTATATGAAAATGAAGTGCGTGCTCAGTGTGTTTCTGAACATGTTTTACTGCAGGCATGATTTGCAAAGGTAATTTTGAATCCCTTTGCTACTGTGTTCCTTCTACAACATTTCTAATCCCCCTGGGAAGTTGATACAAGACACTCCCATGATGCATTTGTGCTTAGTAATCATCCCTGTCTCAGGTTTGTTCGCTTATTCTTCATGTAGACATGCTGTTGGAGAAACCCTGCTTTTAAAAGCCTCGTGCATCATAAACCACTTTGCAATATGCGCATCTTGGCGACTGTCCTGAAATGCTTTTATGGCTTGTTGTGGTCTTTTGGACAGAGATCAATGGAGGCTCTGCAGGAAGCGAGAGATACAAGATGGTATCAAATGCTGACTCCGGACCCTTGCAGAAAAACTGAGCACTGTTATTATTATCCAATTCCCAAGTGATTATTGGCCAAGGTGGAATTATTTATTCCCAGAGCCAAAGGGAAAATAATTTCTTGCTCTATTAATATTTTTTCAACCTTATAAATGTTGGCATACTGACCAATGCATGAAACATATAGTGCCCACATTGTCAGAAGTACTTAAGTCTCTATGAATATGGCAGTGATGCAGCCAAATAACATTGCAAAAGGGCATTGTGTAAAGCAAACATGTTAGCATTGATTCCTGTTTACAAGAGCACTTTCGGAGCCTTTCTAATAAATAGAAGATCAATACAGACTGCTGCAGGGAACTAAAATAGAGGAACGTCAGAGAAGAAAACAGTTAACTATGAGAAATAACCTTCGACGAGGAGGAATAACTATTGATATTCCAGATAGCGTCTGTGTCATAAAGAAAGAGTACACATAACATTTATAGTGGTTATAGTAGATATTCTCATAATAATAATGTATCAAATGTGAAAGGGGTCGCTGGTAATGAACCTACAGTGAATTATCATCCGAATCTGCAGCTCCTCTCAGCTTTATGGAGCTTCATAGTGAGTTTTAGCTCATTCTTTATCTGTCCGGCTGCTACTCTTGTTGTTAGAGCCATACTGCAAAGCCAAGCTGAAACCAATCCCTCCCCTACTACAGAAACCTGCAGGTAGACAGTAACTGTAAGTATTATTTGGAATATAAATGCCAAGCATGCTCTTTAAAAAAATCAGGTTATGTTTAATTTCTACAGACAGTTTTTTAACATAAAAGTTCTAAATACAGATATAATCTCTTTGTTCCAGTTAAACCTCAATAGAACAACAACCACCTCATGCAGTCATGAGGTGGCTGCAAAAGACACATCCGACATCCTCTGGATCTCCCGTGGAGCATGTGAGAATCACAGTTGGATGTTTTTGTGCCTCTTTGTTGTCTTTGCGGGACAGCGGGACACATCCTCCAGCATGGCAGGACTTATTTTTAAACCTCAGACGGTGAACGGTGCATGAATCACAGCCTTTTGTGGCAGGGCCATGTGGGTAGAGATGGACGGCACTGGGGAGGAGGAGGGACAGGAGATGAGAGGAAGCTGATCACTTGGCACAAGCCTGCACGCTCCGCCGCTGACTCATCTGTCTTTCAGATGCAGGGATGGTTGTTAGGCAGGTGGGGGCGGTGTGGTGGTGGTGGTGAAGGGGGTGGAGTGGGAGGGGGCGGGATGTTGAGGACATCTCCTGTGTCGTGGTGGACTCATGACTCACAAAGAAGAGTTGTGTGCGTGGGGGGGGTGCAGCCAGTGGGAGATGTGTATGGACACACACAGGAGGTAGATGCACACATGTGGAAACACACAAGCTGTGCAACATAATTACAAGTTGTGTTGCACCTGACGACCTCAAAGACTTCAATACGCAGGAATCATGTAGTTTGTTGTACACCAAAGTTTCACTATCACATCCTGTTCCAACATTTTGAATACATTTCTCATTTAGATTTGAGAAAATTTTTTCTCATGTCCAGTACTGAGTGAGAGCGCTACAGCCTGAAGCCTGTGATATGGCCTACAATGCAATCCTTGCACACAATTGCACACCATCAAAGTATGTCCATTAAAAGTGCTTGTTTTTGCTACTGAGCTGAGATTGTTATTCTAATTGTTTTTGACACAGAAACATGGGAAAATAAGGTACAGGTTGAAAAATACAAAAAATACCCTTTAAGGACAATTTCAAAGAACAAAACAACACAGTTTCTCGTCCCTGGTGATATCTCAGCATATGGATAGTTTCTGTTTGATTTTGTTTTGTCTGTTTCTGTCTTTTATGGCTGAAAAAAAACAGAATTGATCAAATTCTTAACATCACAACATCAACCATGAACCTGCGTGGTGGCAGAGTCAAAAACATGAATGACTCATGTCTGATTTTACTCAGACTTTCACCTTTTGATACTCAATAACTTGACAGCCTCCCAAAGTTATAAAAAAAACATGTGCAGTTAATTAACTGTCCCTTAACACTATAGGCTGATACTTTGAATCAATGTAAATGTGTTCTCAGGGCAGCAGACAGACAACAGGCGACACAGGTAGCTCAGAAATGTTTATTGTTTCACAGGGATAACATACCAAGATACACCTGATCAATTTTCAGTCATTGTTTATTTGGCGGTTGTGGCTCAGGAGTTAGAGCAGGTCGTCTAATATATAAATATTATGTATATAAAATAATATTTTTTTTAATATCTGGCTCCCCCCGCATAGTGTCCTTGGGCAAAATGCTAAACCCAAAATTGCTCCTGATGCTATTTCATCGATGTGTGAGTGTGTAATGTTACTTTCTGATGTTCAGTTCGCATCAGTGTGTGAATGCGTGTGAAAGAGTGAATGTGACATGTAGTGTAAAGCACTTTGAGTGGTCGTAAGACCACAAAAGCACAATATAAGTTCAGTCCATTAAGCATTTACATAATTTAACCAAAAAAACAGTTTGGTCTCTGTTTATAAATTATCATGTAAATTTTGTGAAATTTGGATAACGGCTTGTTTAGGAGTCGAAACACAAAGTTTAGGACAGGTTTGTCTTGGGACTTAATTAAGACTTTTCACTTGCAGAAGCAGCAGATCAGAAAACAGCCGTTGTTTTGGAAGACACTGACAAAAAATGGTGTCCTGACGATAGAGATAGACAAATGCTGTGTTTTGGAAGGCAGTAACTAACAACGTTGTTGTTTACTCTTCTGCTTTGGATAATCCTCAGAACACAGTGTCTACAAAACTCACAAGGCCTATTTCTTTGGTTGAGTTCCAATTAAACACTGTTTACAGCATGTGCTTTGGGACACCAATTCTGGAAAGTCATGTTCCTGTTGAATTTTTTGAATCTAAAATAAATTGCATTCACCTCCATAGCATTGGCGCAGAGCAGGTTTCAAAAAACCAAAACAGTCCGCATGGCTGGATAAAAGAAATGAAAAAATGTGTTTTTTGACACCATGTGCATCAAACAGTAAGGATCCCGGGCAAAAGACTGTATGAACGCTGGAAGCACTGAGCATTCGCTGTCTGTGAGCACCAGACCAAAACTGGCAAAAAGCATCGACTGTGAAGGGATCAAAGTTATTGACGTGGATGGCCGTATCAGGATCAAAAAGTCAATTTCCATCTGACACCAGAGATCATCTTTTCTGTTATTATGCGACCAAAGTTACGCGTCGACACCGGGTTTGTCTCCCTAAGCCATTTTTTGGATTATCACATTTGTTTTAGGTCAACTGGCCCTTTGTGTAATCACTCTTGCACAACCAAAATTGGTTTGAATGTACTCCTGATTTTGAGAAAGCGTAGCCTCTTGCGACGCTTGATGTGCTGTAGCACCTGGAGAGCTCAGCCTGTAGGCAGAAAGCCACCCACAAGGTCCTGCTCCTCCATCCTCTGAGGCCACACTCCGGTCTGGACTCCTACACAGCTTTCCCAGCCTCACTGGTGGCTTCATCATTAGAGGAGCCCCCGGTGATGTGAGCATCCATGACTCACAGAGGGCCTCTGTTACGCTCCTCCACCACCACTACCACCTCCACAACTGGAAGGCTGGCAGATAATCCACAACACACACATTAACACATTTATATACTTGCAATTCAGCATCCAGGTACACACTAATATAATGAATAGGTTATCCAATGAGTAATTATTTGCCCCCGTCAATGTCCTTGTTTCTCTGGTGTCACTCTGATGCAGGATTATGTAGGTAGATCAGCTCTTTGCATCTACTGACGCATTTACGTGCATTTAAATTCATTCAAGCCTAAAAAAACTGAACTGACATTCACACTTTTTATTTACTTCATCTAGACCTTTTTTACTCAATACTGAAAAGCTTTAAAGGATAATTCCTAATCTTCCTAATGTGATATTCAGAAGCTTAAAACACAACAAAAAAGGCTTTCATTTTGGATTGGGAGGTCCAAATTTCCCCCATTTTTACACAATGACAGGCTCAGCATTGTGTTTCTATATATTGAACATCTTATATAATATGGAATAACTCAAAAAACACATTTTACGAAAAGAAACATCAGAATCAAAATACCTTATTGATGTGTTAACATCCTTATGAATACAAGCTTTTATTATTCTAAAATAAAATGAACCTCCATTTGGCACCTATTCTTAAAGCATGATTGATTGTGCAAAATTATCATAAACCCAAAAGACTAATAGGCAATTTATCTCCCTGGTTGACAGGATGAGGCCAGTTTTGGCTCCCCTCTAATATTGAATGACTAACCGTGGATAATGACTTTGGCCCAGACTGATACATACAGTATTTCTGGAGATGAACTCTTCAGATATTGGCAATCAATGTTGTTATTAGTCTTACTAAAACCTGATATGTCATTAATCACTGGGCTCCTCCTCCACAACCGGGGTTCTTAGATATTTATGAGCCAAATTATATCTGACCTGCCAATCCAAGTCAAACAATACCAGTAACACAGACGCACGGTCCAGTAGAATATACTTTTACAGTTATTATCTCCGCTGCAGACGGTCTGATTACAATTATTTGAACTCAGTGTCAATTACAGTCCCCGTAGACGCGACAGGAGGTTGTGAGTTTTCCCGTGTCCGATGTGCAAACACTCCCTTGCAGAAAAAAAGAGTTGGTTTCTCCCAGTGATGACTGGCTGCAGTTCTCCCCTCACATTGTTGTGATTAACTGCTGGAGCCTGATGACACCTCACCCAATTAGGGAAGCCCTGTTCTTGCTCCTGTCAGACAACACACACATGAACACACTCCAGCTTTGAACTTGCAGCACATCTTTTGGTTTGTGTGTGTGTGTACAGTTATGTGTGTGTGTTTATGGTGTATTTTCCATTGTCACCCTACATCTATTTGTTAATTGAGCTTGTGTCTCTAGCTAGCCTCTCCTCCCACACATTACGAGCTACTATGGGATAAAAAACAATAGAGTAAGGGAAGACAACCAGGCAAGAAAGAGTGGAAAATAAAATTTCTCTGGCCAACTTAACTTCAAATTTAACACAAAGTTTAAAAAAAAATGAGCTGAAGAGCCTCAGAGATCACACACAGACACGAGCATAATATATATATAAAATATGAAAATACTGTAAAATATATTATATATTACCACATTGTGAAAGTGACACTTTGGGTAATTGTGACAACATTTCTCACTAGTATTTTCAGAAGTTCTACAAATCAAACAATCAATCGATTAATCAAGAAAAAGAAGAAATCAGCAGACGAATCCATAATGAAACTTACAGTCCTATTAAAGAAATTTGCTCAAAAATGAGCTCAAATTCAACCACAACCTAAATAAAATCCTGCTTTTACACGCATTATCTATTGTTTATATACATAATAGTAACAGTAACAGCCACATACGGCATTCTTTCTGCATTAACTACTTTTGCTTTTAATATTTTAAGTACATTTTTCTGATTAAACTTGCATAAACCTCCTTTTACTTGGGCTAAGTTAGACTTTTGCTCGTTGCAGAGTATGCATACAGTGATTAGTACCGGAGAGGACGCTCGGCTGCGCAGCGCCTCCTAGCGACGGGAGAACTACGTGATGACGTCCCGAGACGATAACGTTAATGTCATCATCAGTTCCGTTCTGCTGTTTTTGAATGTTTACAAACTAAAACCGGCGCTCTCTCTCTCTCCCCAACTCGAACCATCACATCAAGGTAAATAACGCTGCACCACTTCAACACACCCTGTCAGTGTGATGCTCGGCCTGTTTTTGGGTTATTAAGGCCTGGATCTGTAGATGTATGAGATCTATCTGTGTTTAAATGTTCGGGGTCAGTCACATGCTGTGAGAAAGCACAGATCCGCCCCTCCCATCCTGAAAGATCCGAGTCAAAATGCCAACGTTTGTAAAAGTTGCATTAATTAATGTGTTAGCTTTATCTGTGTAGGCTTGTAACTGACAGTGTTGCCACAAATCATGGAGGAAATATTCAGATCCTTAAGCTACTTTTAAAAACAGTAGGCTATACTTATACCACACCGTAAAAATAAATGGAAAGTGTAAAAAAAAGTCATTTATTTTACTATTTTATATCAATATTATAATCATTATTATTAGATTATTATTCTCACTTGGTTGAGGTGGAGCTAATTTTGAAGTATTTTGCATAGGACCGCAACTAAATGATTATTTTCATTATGGATTAATCTGATATATTTTTTTTGGTTTGTAAAAATTCAAGAAATAGCGTTGTTTTGTCCAACCAACAGCACACACTTTTAAATGATTAAAAATGTATTAAAATCATAAAAAACATTTAGGAAGAGCAGAAAATACACTGGAACCATGAAATGTGTTTGCATGAAAAATGACTGAAACGATCATCAGAATAGATTTCTGTCAGTCGATTACATTATTCATTGAATAATCATTTTAGCTTTACTTACAAACTGTTGTATAAGTGTTTGGTTAGTTTATAAGCTATTTTTATGTTAGTCTTTATTTGTAAAGTGACTAAAAGTGATCTATCTGTCTATCTATCTATCTATCTATCTATCTATCTATCTATCTATCTATCTATCTATCTATCTAAGGAAAACCATGAAAAGTGATGAGGAGCCTCCAACACATTTTCCTCAGTGCCCAGCTGGATTAGTAAAGGTTTGTACTGGTTTGTACAGTAGGCTACTGAGTACAATGGGATGTACTTTCAAAAAAAAAAAACAAAGCCCCCAAAGAAATGTGACCATTAAAAGTCACAAGATGTAGAGAGATAAATCCAAGAAGTACATACTCTTTCACCTGAATCATCTCTCACAGTTTGTGTTTTCGTGTACCTGTTTGACATTAATTGCTTCTGCGATGTTTGTGTTTGTTGTCAAAAATGAAGCCTTTACTGGCTGACCTTGAAGCGTCAGACGAACAACATTTCAATCTGCACGTAATCTCACCGTCTGTTCTGTTTCAGCTTGGTAGTTGTAATATGAAAAGAGAAAAACTCACATAGGCTTTTTTCTCTGCAAATATTTGCTGTTATCACATTGCCTACTGACTTATTTATTCCAGTTTAAAGTACGTGTTTTTATGAGGATCCATCTGATTTCCACAGGGCAGGAGAAATGTGGAGGTGAAGAGTGAGGAGTCCAGCAATGAGAGGGTTGAGCTGACGGTGGGGGTGAAAACATCCAAACCCAAAATGTCAATTGAGCTTTCTTCGTGTTTCTGTGAGGACAGTGAAGCCTGCGTGTGAGTCACACACAGTAATAAAAGTTGTTTGAAGATCTAATTGAAATCCAGCTCGGTAAATTAACCTGTTCATTTTGGGCCTCATCATCACGGTGATGATGAACATGAGGATGATTCTGACAATAATTACTGCCCCCGCAATGTTTACGTAAAAGTGGAGGCATCACAAAAGGACATCCAGCGTGGAAAAGACAAAGGCAGGTCCACTCACCCAATAATCCAATTTGTGTTGATTTTACACTAGGTGCAAAAATGGCCTTTTTGACTCACCATCATCACTCTGTCTTTCACCGGGGACTGCTGCAGCGCAAACACAGATGCAAAGCACAAAGCCCAAGGCCAGGACGCTGGTGAGTCACAGTCATACCGACGTGTGTGAATGAAGGCTAAGTGAACGTTCATTCAGTAGAAAACTGGCTCTCATTTGACGTCATCGGTCTTAATCACTCAATTATAGCAATTTCCAGAAGGTAACTGTGCTTTATCTTCACCGTATCTGCCTCCAGGTAGCATGCAGGCAGCTGATTGATGGGAAGGAGGCGGTGGCCTCACTCAGGGACCAATGTGAGATCATTAACACACTGTTAGTCATTCACTCTCAATCATTTGTGCTGGATTTGTCTGAATCATGCTGTGCGTGAGATGGTGCATTCATGATGTTTCACAATACTTGAAAGATAAGATGACACAAACAAAAGCAAGATAAGTATGTGATGGAACTTTACTGTGTGGAGAAGGCTATAAAATATGTGTGATATGAGCAAGCAAATGTACACTACGTGGCCAAAAGTATTTGGACAAGCCTGTCCAGTGTTTTGGCAACAATTTGGTGAAAGTCCATTCCTGTGTCAACATGACACAGTGAGGTCAATAAGAAATTGTTTCCCCAGTTTGGTCTGGAAAAACATGACCTGCTCTGACCTCAACCACTGGTTCAATATAACCCCATCCCCAAAAAACAAGTAAATAAAATACAAAAAACAAAACTTAAGAAAGTTAATAGAATCCCTTCAGTAATAATTAGATTGACAGTATCAGTACATTAAGAAAAGCTGAAATATATGTAATTGATTGAGCTTTAAATACAACTGTTTTACCCAACAGAATATGTAGCAGATATCATCCTTTTTATTCGATGGATTCTTCCTTGCTCCTTCCTTTTATCCACAATGCAACTCAACTGCTGATAGTTCGGTCAGAGATTTGCGTGTATATGCTATTAGCGGCTAATGTAGCCTCAAGCTGCTATACATATACATAAGGAGCAGACTACTATGCAGAGGTCTTTTGATACTAAAGAAAACATCTAAACATAATAATTATGAGGCAAGATCTAATGTTATAAGAAGCTTCTTCTTCTTTCTCAGTGACTTTAAACATGTTTACCTGCAATGGACATTGGAGATGCCACTATTTCTGTAAAGTGTGTGCCAAGCTTTTTTCTCTCCCCTTCTCCATCGCCTAAACCAGGAACTGCCACTAAAACCTTATTTAAGACCTTTGGGATGGGAGGCCTTATCACCCAGCATCAGTGTTGGACCTCCCTAATGTTCTTGTGACTGAATGGGAGCAAATCCCAACAGCCAGACTGCTCAATGTAAATAAGCTCGTATAAACATAATATGTGAAGGCATATCATCTCACTATGTTGATATAACTATTAATTATTGTGTTTTAATTGAAATAAAGAAGTTTCTGGCTAAAGCCGAACAGAGGTGGGATTAAATCCACATTAAAAGCACATTGATTTTGTTATATCATCAGGTTGAGACTCCTAAATGTTGTAATGATTATCTTTATGACAACCCTACCACACACACACCTCCACTCATTTGAAGCCTGGGGGAAGAAGTGTACGAGAAGAGCCTGAAAGGGAACATGAGTCAGCCTGATAGTACAACTTATGATGAGTGGGCTTCACTTCAGTGGGAGCTAAATGGATAACTCTTTCAGCAGAGGAGACTGTCTGGGTTACAAAATAGATTTATTGATTTATTTTATGTGAGTCCCTGCCTACTCTGGTCCAAACGATTAAGGTTTGGAATTTCAAATACATTTCACCGAAGAGGAATTTAGATTAAAATCGTGTCTTTTAGACTGTGTTCAAAAAGGGCTTGAACTCAGTATCTTAAGATTATACAGATAAAGAGCAGATGACAGAGAAAGAATCAGATAATAAAATGTAATATTGGCCGACCATGCATGGGTCAAATATAATGTCGCAGTGTACACTGGATACTATTATGGCTGTAATTAACAGTTATTTTCATCATTAAATTAAATCTTTATTTTATTTTCTGGTCTGTGAAACAAGTACCATAAAGCCTGAAGTGACAATTTCAAATAGCTTGTTTTGTTTGAACAACTGTCCAAAACCAAAAACATTCAATTTACAGTTATAATAAAACTGAAAATAGCAGCAAATACACACATTTTAGAGGTTGTAACCAGAGAGCGTTTGGCTTTTTGTGCTTGTCTCAGCTCTAGATACTGTTCTCTCAAACATATAGGGTGAGGTTATACACAATGTCAAAATATAAACAGCTAATACTATATCATTTTAGTTTAATTTAGTATAATTTATCATCATTTATCATTCATTTTGTTCTTTTTCCTCAGCTCCTCTTTCATTGGTAACATTCAAAGGGACTGTAAGTTCTGCAAGCACCGACCCCAACAGGAACTCTTCAGTTCATGGATCCATCACAGTATGTTTTTTTGCAAATATACCACATCTTAGTCATGTTTCTTTATTATAGGATACTGCTGGTAGCGTTTTTTGCTATTGTCAACAAATCCCATGAAAAGCCAAAACTACAATCCATAAAAGCTTTGGGACTTTCTCTCAGCCCCAAACCAAGTAGTTACTGAAGACACAAATCTTTAAATACAGGTCACGAATATATATACATTTTTCAAAAAAGGAAAAATAATTTCCTTAAACAGCTGGGCACTATAGTTTCCAGAAAACATTACTCCAACATTAGTAAATAGTGCATTTGTTGGGACTATTTTCAGTTTCCCCTGTGAGTATTTCTGCCAGGAGGACAGTGTATGTGGAACTGAGTCAAAATACACTACAGTGGCAGTTTTAATCCTAATGAAGGAAGATTTCATCCAGTGTTACCTTACAATGTGTTTTAATAGTTTTTGGACAACAATGGAGCTCCATGGCACTGGTTCTCAACCTAGGGTTCCTTTTAAAGCTAAGATTTATATTTAAGATATAAACTAAAACAACTCACAAGATAACACGCAAGGTGAAGACCTGAACACAAACTATATTCAAAGAGCCTTCCTTCCCTTGTAACAGCCTCGTCTTGTGTTAGAAAGGTACGCAGTTAAAGCAATCAAAGAGCTCACAGGACAATGGCCAAGTGTCAGGGAGAAGAAAACACTGACTTTGTCGAAGAAAAAGAAGCCTATCAAGTATGTATGATTGTTAAAGATTTAAATAAATACATAATACAGAGAATTGTATAAAAAGTTCCTAAAAATATCAGAAAATCTTGTCTCTGATGCAGTATTCACAGGAAATGATCTGCTTAACATTCACCCAAATTGCTTGTTTTACGCAAACTTCCTGCAGTTACTGTGTTCAATGTGTGGGTTAATTTTCAGTTTATCAGTTATTCTGTTCTGTTATTGTTATGCATTTAATATAATTTGAAATATGTCACAGTCAGGGGTTGTCAGTTTACTCAAGGGGTTCCTTAAGGAACAAGGTTGGGAACCACTGCTCTATGGCACAGAGGAATACTTGGTTTTGGTCTTTTCAAGAATATGTTGACAATAATAAAAAATATATAGGATATTATCTGACGGGTCCTTCCAAGCATATTTAAACTGTAGATAGTCGATATAACCACTAGATGGAGGTGTTGATCCTTGTTTAGCAGTTATTTTAAACTTGTTCATCATTCATTATCAACTTAGAGAGAGCAAACAGGTTGTGCTGAGAGTCCTTATCTTCCAGGGACAATCTTCAGTATCAGCTGTTCAACAGGATGAAGGCCTAAGATCGAACAGGAACGTCACCAGAGAGGTCACACTCTTCTGTCCTCTGCATAAAGTAACCAGACATTACTAAACTTTCTGTTACAATATCCCTGTGTGACATTTATGTTTTCTTTAGGAAAACAGAAGTCAGTATTACAGCGAGCTTTGCCTGCAGATAGAGCAGAGGAAACAACAGACAGAAAGGGAGAGAAGAAGAAATACTGTTGACGAACTAAAGGTTAAGAACTTGAACTGGAATGCATGTTCATTCGTGATAAGATTGATGGTAGATTATTATATGTTACATGTTAACTAATGGTGTCACAATTCCCCCACCATCTGCAGCACCATGAGACCATGCAGCACTCCATCTGGGGGATGCCAGGAAGTGGTGCCCCAAACCACCACCTGGGCACAACCAAAAGGACCAAAAGCCTCCTCAGCGCGGGGATTTTACCCCAGGAGCAGGTAGACAATGCACTGTTTATTTTACCCGAGCATTGTTCCGTGCAACAAAAAGCCCAGTGTGCTCGGAAAGGTCTCCTGATCGCACAGGCTTTGACAGGAAAGAACCGAAAGAGAGTCTGCAGCCGTGCAAATCTGTCTGTAACAAATGATGATTGTGGTACTGCTATTGCCTCTTCAGTCATTTTAGATACAAGCAGACAGTTCTAAGCTGTCCTGCACAATGACAACCTAAAAAACCCTCTGAGATAACTTCTTGACTTGTTTCTTTACTTTTGCTCTAAAAAAAAAACTCCTGTTGAGACTTACACCTCCCGCAGAGCTTTACTGCCCCAATGTGTTTTTGTAAGTGAAACTCCATTCTGACCTCCTTTCCACACAACACATCCGTCTTTTAGCAGCAGAAACTCAAACCTCTGTCTGTGGTTATTAACAGTAGGAGCTGGTCAGACCCTAAACAAGTTGTGTTTGAGGTCATAACATGAGTCTGGGTCCTGGGCCAGCATGACATTACAGCCTGTTTCTTTGGCTGATGCTTCTGAATGCGGTCTTTGTTCCCAGATCCGTGATAAAGGCTTCAGCGGGACCCCCTTCCACCGCCTGTGAAATGAAGACCATAACATCCCTGAGCTGAGACAGCTGAGAGCTACAGAGCAATGGCGCAAATAGTACTCTCTTTCTCGTTTACCTTCAAGTAATGTTGTCGCCATCAAGACATTTGGGCTATTTCAGCAGCAAATTCTGATGGTGGAATGCAAATAAACTGAGACAGAGAGAACAAACACATGAAAAGTTTTGAGAAGAGAGACCAAGTGAGCCTTCTACTTACAGCTACATGTGTTGCTGCATGAACAGGTGCCTGCAACAGCAACATTCTTCACTCCCTACCAAGAATGGTAGTCGTTCCTGATTTTTCCCAGAATAGAAGAAGCATCTGAGAACTTAAAGAGGTGCTGAACGGACTGCATTTGATACAGAAGTACATTTCTTAACTGTTATATGAAATAGAATCACATTTGCTCTTACACTGATGGTGGGGATGGTGCTTCACGTTTTCATAAAGTGGTACTAGAGCTGGGATTTAATATTGCTTTCATAAAGTTGGGGGACTCAGAAGAGATGGATTTTAAAAAATTGAAGCCTGATTAGTATGGACCAAGCTCCACACTATACTATGGTCCTACAATTCCCATAATGCAACTCAACTGTGTCTTTCATGAGACCCTCCCTAAATGTATTTCAAACTCTACATCTCCAGTTTCTAAAGCAGACTTTCTGAAAAAAAGCTTAAACCAAGTCAGGGAACAAGTCTTTTTAAGTTGAAATCATCAACATCTAAATTATTGTTTGACAATTTCCTTTCAAGTGTATATCAATCAATCAATCAAACTTTATTTATATAGCACATTTCATACAGTTTAGTGCAGTTCACAGATGACTGACAAGACCATAATATGACACAATGGAGTAAAAATTAAATAAGTTAAATTAATATTACAATAAAATACTGGTATACCGATAGTATTTAATAAAAGTTATACTAAAAAAAAATCAATGATGAAAGCAGGTAGAAATAACAAACTGTAGTAAGTAAAAGTATACTTAAAATAAATTAATGACATTTACAAAAGAAAATATAATGAGGAAAATTAGAAATAAATGGTAAATAATGTCTAAAAACCATTCCTTAGTTAAAAGTCAGGCTGATAGTATAGCCCTAATTAATAAATGCATGATGTCAAGTCCTTAAATAATCACTAAGACTAGAAGATATGAATCTCACATCTGTCTCCTCCACAGACTGTTGAACCGCCATGTTTACAGCAGAAACTTGTGGAAAAATGCCAAAGGCTATCTAGCCACTGTTTGGTGTGTCCATTCTGTGCTACTGTAGAAACATGGTGGTTCAACATGATGAACTCCCCGGAAGGCGACCTTTAAGTCTTGACTGAAGTATGAACTCTACAGCTGAGATGTTGGGAGGAGCTGAGAATCAAACCAGAAACCGTATGATTATAAGACAGTTTGTTCAACAACTGAGCTGCCTGAGGACTGAAGCTGAATTAAAAGTTTCAGCAACTTGAACGATGAACTGAACATGTTGTCACTGTAAACGACTCACATCTTACACCGAATATGTTGCTAATTTGCTCATTATAGTGTTGGACATTAGCCACATTGTGTGAAAAACTAACTTCCATACTTTGGATTGTTTGTCCAGAAGGTTCCCTAATTGATCTTCAAGGTAATTTCCAGATAATTATACAGTGAAGAGAGATGACTCATCCCTGTATAATTGCATGGCTTTGTTAATGTGACGTTAGCAAGCTCCTAATTGGAACAGTTTACGCAGACTTTGTGTGTGAGTGTATTCAGTTTTCATAGGTTAAGGGCCTTACTGTGCGGGGCAGCAGCAGCTTTCTTCTTCAGTGGGTGAGTAATTATGATGTAGGGACAGTTGTAAGGGACAGTGAACGGTTAGAGCGTAGGCTGGCAAGGTTGGTAATTATACCGAGGAGTTCTGCAGACGACGTACTTTTTGGTTCATAGTTGATTCATGCAAACATTGTACGCTAAATGCAGAGAAACTATTGAATAAGTCAGAACTTGTGCTAGTTTTCTTTTTTATTTATCTCAGCTTGTACCAATTTGTGAATTACGTTTGGTCTATTTGATGAACGAGTAGAAGGCTATAATGTTTAAAGCTCCCTCCGACTGGAATAATCTACCTGTAAATATTTGGTCTGTATCATCTAATCACCTGTCTTCTTATTTTAGGATCAACTGTACATGTTCCTAATGACAGTTGTACATGTCCAAAATAACACCTTTTATAATTTTATAATCATGTTTTGTAACTCTTTTACCTAATGCTTTCACTGACATCAGTACTACCACTCTAAACTATGAATGAAAGATCAATTTGCTCTGTTTGGAGTATTATCTGTTCTTGTCTTGTTATTTATTGTTTCTTTTCCCTTTAATTTTTATTTTATTTTTTTTGTTTTGTCTCCATAGGTTCTTGTTTGTTTGCGTCAAATCTGGTTTAATTGTGTACTGTTATCTTTCTCAGATTTTGTGTGCAGTTGTGTATATGGTACTTCTTGTCGTTGAGGAAAATGAGATGGTACCGCTCAAGGGTTTATTCCTAATAAAGAATTTCCAACTTATAACAACTGTCCAATCAGTTTAAAAAACATATAATTAATTGTCTCTTTTTCAGCTTTTTCTGAAGGACTCTAAAAAGGTAAATAAATAGCCTAATAAATGAAGTAGATTCCCATAGTACATGATTAGTATAATGACACCATAATAAATTAACAAATACATTCCCATATTTTAGGATTATAACACCATAACAACTAAACTACATTCCCATATTATCTGATTATTGTAATAAAAACCATAATACAGTAAAACATAACAACATAATAACAGTGTAAACTCAACATCAGGAACCACAGAGATGTTGTGAGTCTCAACAAGTGCACCATGGGATACTACAGTGGCCGTGGGTGTAAATGGTTAAACCTGACGGGGTAGCGGTCCGTGGTGACGTCACATACTGGTTTCTGCTGCTTTGGGCCGCAGTTCGCCGAGGAGGACTAAACAACCCCGAACTACTCCACGACTCCGTACTACAGATCTCCAGCCGCCGACGGATAAACAGCCTTAAAATGGGCAACTGTCAAGTAAGTACCGCTGTGTTTGACGGTCTGCGCCGCTTCTAGAAATAGAAAATCTTTACAATCAGCAGTCTGGACTTGGATAGCGATAGAGTTTCGGTTTGATTAATTGGATTCAGATTTGTTTTGATCGCAGCCGATCACCAGGATAACCGCTAGATTCCTGGCTTCATTCTACAGCCACGTATTTATTGCTTATTATGGGATCGACACTGTGACGCCTCCATTCGCCGCCAACCCTTGCGCACAGCGCGCAGGCCAAATCGTGAGAAAACCCTCCTATTAGTCTGACTGAACCTGAGAGTCATAGTGTCGGATTAGTAGTATTTGGTGTTTCTTTAAATGAACGTCGCAAATGACACCGTGCGACAGACTACAGTGTCTGGGTTTACGCAGAGGAACAGGGGGGCCACTCCCCTGCGGAATTCATCACAGCTCTGTTAGATGTGTGTGTGTGTGTGTGCAGATGAATGAGAGTGAATTAGTAAGGGCTCTGTGTGCTGTGTGTGAGGCAGGAGTGGAGTCAATGAGTGCACAGATGGGGGATGGTGTCCGTTTTCTGTCAGATTTATGTCTTTTTGCTACCTTTGTTTGGATTTTTTCACTTTAATCTGACAGTGCTTTCAATAATAGTTTTATTTGATGTTTTTTTTTTTTTTTACTGTATTATTGTAAAGTAATTGTTAAACAAGTATTTTAAATGGCAAATATCATCCTACTTTATATTGAATAAATTTATACATTTGTTGGTACAGTACAAAATAAAGGGTCTGCTGACATTTTGAGAAGGGATTCTGTAAAAGTGTAAACAAGGTTCAAACATTTACTGTACGTTCTCCTTGTCATGGGACAGAAAAGTGGCATTAAACGCTCCTTTATTGCTTTGGATGATATAGTTCCATTGTGGCCACTCTTTGGAGCTTCTCAGACCCCCGTTGGCCCCTGGACCGCCCTTTGGTTACTGCCAGTTATTCACGCGGCCCCCACCAAGTTTGTTTAAAGACTTCTGGCCCTGAATTCCTCAACCAAAGCATTGTGTCATCGTCCTCCCCTCCCCCCAACTGCCAGCTGCTCCTGCATCTCTATCATGAACGCCTCTGAACTTCATTCTACTGAAACAATGATCAGTTTGATATTAAAGCAGAAAGCTGTTTTTTTGTGTAGCTTTGTAAGTCACAACAGTCTTTGTTTTATTCTCTTAGCCCACAATTGTGCCCTATGAGGAGTTTGATGTCGTGGCTGACATCAAGGGCATCCGCAAAGCCTGCAAAGGGTTCGGTAAGTCGGAAATACTTGATGGATAATGTTTGTTTTGTCTGGTAGTGAAGCATCACTCGCAACTGTTGCACTGAATCTGTTTTTTCTCTTCAGGAACCGATGAACAGGCCATCATTGACATCCTGGCAAACCGCTGTTCATTTCAGCGTCAGGAAATTAAGCAGGCCTATTTTGATAAGTATGATGATGTGAGTGTCGTTCGGTAATATGCAGAATAATATCTACATGCCCTTCACTGTTTGTTTTACCATAACAACCAAAATCTGCATTTCTCCTAACCCTAATATCACAATTCAATGCTGCCTCTTTGGGATAGGAGTTGGTGGATGTGTTGAAGAAAGAGCTGGCGGGGAGCTTCGAGAACGCCATCCTCGCCATGCTGGACCCGCCCGTCATCTACGCCGTGAAGGAGCTGAGGAAGGCCATGAAGGGAGCGGGCACTGATGAAGATGTCCTGGTGGAGATCCTCTGCACCGCCACCAACTCTGTCAGTCACATTAAAAGCATCAAATTAGGAGTTATCTTTGGTATCAAAATAATTATATTTTTTGATTTTTATGTAGAATATTCTGACTTTCTATTCATTGTTTCCCTCAGGACATTGCCCTGTTCAAGGAATGCTACTTTCAAGGTAAGCCATTAAGCGAATTGAGGCTTTAAATGAGAATTTGATTTGCAAAATAAACTTTACCACTACAAACATAATAGTAACAATGATAAACTTAACTTGGAACACTTCTCAAAACAAAGTCACATGATTAAACTGAGTTTTAAACAAGTCCATCCCATGTGACATAGCGTTCATATTGTGCAGTTCAACCTCTCAACCAATAACTTACAAAATGTCACTTTTTTCCTTCCTTGTATTATGAGCCCTGGAGGACATGGCTAAGGGTGACTCATTTGGACCTACACTAGATATCCTACAGTACTATTCTTGACCCTTTAGTTTATGTAAGATACAGTCACGCTTTGTTTAGTCAAGGCCCATCCTGCTGCAACTTCCTGTTCACTATGATACAACGGCTGATAGCTGATTATATTTACCAACATCTTCCTTCATGATTTTGGGGTTTCTTCTCCATCTTATGTTGACATCATATGTTTTCCTCACTAAACTTTATTTCTCGTGCATGTTGAAGGATTATCATCGGTACTGTGGTTGTGGATTTGAGACCGAGTAGAATTAAGTTTTTTTAATCATTAGCTGACTGCTAACCAAGCTAACCACTATCTAGGTGTCTGGAGCCAACTAATGTGTTACTATGCAACATTGACAGTAACTGTTAAATTACTGTTTTACCATCACTTGTAGACTTTATGTGTATGTTACTAGAAGAATGAGTGTGCTGTACTTCCTCTGGCTACTTAATGTTGCTCTTTCATTCGTAATACTTTGCTTCTTACTGGCATAAGGTACAATGTAACGCTCTTTAATAGAATAATATAATAAGACCCTATTTACAGTGCACTACATACTGGCTGCCATTTAAAAAAATTTAATTTCTGTACATGTCTGTAAATG